ACAGTAATAGGGGCTCACTTTCCCTTGAAACTATTGACCCTTGAGTGAGGTAGAATGACAGAAGAAAAGAACATAAAGAAAAGAGAAAAAATGATAAAAGAAGAAATCTGAGTTAGGGCAGGAGCAGAAATAGAAAGGGAGATGAGGGATAATATGGTGGAGCAAGAGACTGAGTTGGAGAAAGAGGACAGAAAAAAGAAAGAATTTGCAGAGTGGAATGAGGAAAAGAAAGAAAAAAATGACTTGAAGGGCCTCTTTCAGACTATGTCTCTGCTGTCATAATATAGAACATGTTCTGCCATGTGCAGAACCAAGTCCCCTGATCTCAGCTAGCTGATGGCAGAACCCCATGACACAGACTGACCTAGGGTGCAAGGCCCAGATTGAGTTCCCAGACCTCCTGCAGGGTTGAACTCCAGAGAGTTCTACTACAGGTTTCCCCTGCCATTTCTTAAAAGATATTCAAAGTTGAGAGCTCAGAAAAATACCCCTTTTCACCACCTCTTCCTCTGCACAGTGGGTCCTAAAACTGACATAATCAGGAGGTTTGAGAGTGCGGGGGGGGGTTCAGGGGCACCCATGCAGCTACCTTCCTTGCACTTGAGAGATGGCGGCAGTGGCACAGGCAGGGGAGGGCATGGCTAAGCAGCCTGAAGTTTTTTTAAATGTCAGTATTTATTGAACTAGAAGTGCCTCCTATCATTAAGTAGACTTTTATTATTTTCATCATTGACTAGGTGAGAAAACTGAATTTAAGAAGCTATCTCTTCTGGTTGCACAAATCTTGGATTCCCTAAATCCAAACTTTCATGTCGAAAAAAAAAAAAAGACTATAAATTTACTAACAGTTACCCAGGATTTATTAAAAAATCTTCAGAATTGCTATTAGCATTCAGTATAAAATAGCTGTTTAAAGCACCAGTCCAGCCCAGCATGTTGAACAATGGGTCACTGACTTGTGTCTGGAAACTGCACAGGGAGTTTGTAGGAAAGAAGGGAGTTCCCCATGTCCTGGCTGCCAGAGGGGACTGAGGTGGGCCTGCCTCCTCATTAACAATAGCCAACTCCACTGAAAGGGACTGCAAATTGTGAGCCGTCTTCTATTTGGAAGCACTAGGGTAGTGAGGAACACAGCAGAAGTGGCAAAGTCAAACAATTGGCAGGCCTGTTCATAATGTGTTTTGGTTTTCATATTTTACTTATCTTTGAAGGCACTTGGGAGAAGTGTTTATGTTTTCGCTAAGCACTTAGATTCCATGTGCTAGTTCTTATTACTCACTTTTCACTGGGAAAGAACCAGTTAGAAACATTTAGCAGCTAGTTTTAGTTGCACTTCAGAATCTGCTGCCAAACTAAAAGGAAAGAAAACATGAAATAATTGTTAGGATACACGTTCCCTTCTTTTTTAACCACCCATCTGGATAAGCAAAGATTCAAATTGAAAACTGAACAAGGGATAAATTTATACCTTGATCATCTTTTGGAAATGAGTCTTAGTCATTTTTCATTTATTGGGGCTAATAAAAGAGAGTAGAAAAAAGACAACAGAAAAAAACAAATCATTTAGCTTTTATATGTAGTCAGAAATAGGTGTTTTCTTCTCCACCCTGTGAGAGGCAGTGTTGCAGAAGACATGGGTTTTGAGCCTAATTTACTAGCTGAATGACTTGATATAAATTATTTGGCTTCCCTGAGCCTCGATTCCTCACCTGATAAAATGGGAATGTTATCACCTATTTCACAGAACACTGTGTGAATTAAGTGAGGTGAGGTAGGCAAATTATCCAGTTATAGTAGGTGCTTAATAATGTTAACTACCCTCCCTGCATCCTTAATGCAGGCCATGATTTGTCTTTAAAACCAGTAAGCCACTTGTGAATACCTAGGTGTTGACCATAGCAATTTAATGTTACCACTACTTCTGCTACAAAATTCAGATATGGGCAGATTTTATTGAACACATTCATTTTCTCTTTTTTTCTTTTAAGCCCTTTAGTCTAGTGTTTCTCAATGCTGGCTGCACATTGGGACCACCTGCAGAGCCTTTAAAAGAACAGATGCCTTCACCTCACCCCAGATACAGTGATCCCTTTAGTCTGAGGCGGGGGTGGAATTTTAACAGTTCCCCGGCTGCTTGTAACATGGGGCTAGTGGTGAGCCCTACCTCATCACTAAGTATGTGAACCCCACTCCTAGTCAGTAGTGAGATACACTCAAAGCAGTAGTCTAATCCCTGCTGTGAGAATCACGTGGAAAACTTTTTAAAAATGCTCATCCCCATGGCAGAGATTTTTGTTTGCTGGGATGGTCTAAACCGGGGTATGTTTTAAAGCATCCAGAAGATTTATATTGTACTGTGGTTGAGAATCATTAGTGTAGTAAACACAGTTTTAACAGATAGCTGACTATGATATTTTAAAGGTTGAAAATCTGGTCCCGATTGTAAAGTCAAGTGGTTTTAGAAGCATGGTAGAAATAGGCCCTATCATTTTCTCCATTTAGTGTTCTCTTGATAAAGTTAACTGAATATACATCACAGTGATACAGTAACAAATATGAAGTCACTGTGGGGCTTATTAAGGGTTATTTTTCTCCTTATCAGGTTGTTTGTTTTGTGCAGTTTATTTAAATCTAGGCCAACACTTCTGTCTTTAGGGCAGGGCCTTCGTCTCAATGCCACATCATGTGCTCCCTTATCCATCATCATCATCTCATACATTGCATACACAATCATATGTTTTCCTCATTGTACAGATGACAACAACTGAAGCACAGAGAAGCTAAGTTAATCACAGACACAACCCAACAGGTAGAGCTGTATTTTGCTCAACTCAGAAACCATGCTGTGGCAATCTTCAAAAGCAGTGACCTGCTAGCTAGAAACATGAGGCCACAGTAAGAAGACCCAGCTTTCCAGTGGGTCTTTTCTGGAGACTAAGGGCAGCTGAGGGCACAGAGAACATGTTCTCAGAGTCATTTCACAGGCCTAGAGCTGGATACACCAGGGTACCATTCAGCCAGGAGGCAAGAAAAAGCAACGGCCCCAGCCCCCAAAAGACAGGGTGGAAGTCCAAGGGAAAACTACACTTGATCCTGAAAGTCTTCATTTATACAACAAAGGCCCAGTATCCAACCATTATTCAAAGCAGACCTAACTTGAACCAGGAGCTTCAAGGTAAGTAAAATGAAATAACAATCACCATCTTTAATACATCTCCTGCCACAAGAACCAGGCTCTTTAATATATATCTAGTCAGATCAGCAACTCTAAAAGGTAGGTGGGTTTAACCCCATTTCACAGATGAAAATATGGAAATTCGGCAAGGATCAATAGCCTACTCCAAGTCCTAATTTGTTTAAAGTTGGAAAGTGGAGAAGAGATCCAAACAAATTTCACAGTCTGATGAAAGAACTGAGACCAACACAGAAGTGACTCTGCAGAGACGAAGCTTACAAAGTCCTTATCAGTGAAAGGATAATAAAAACAGAACCCAGCAAGGCTCATAAACAGACTGAGTTCAAAACACACATTTTGATTTGGAAAGCAAAGATGATATTGCATACTTTTTAGGCTTTTGTGAAGATAAATGAATGCTAGACATTAAGCACTGGCACAGTATGGCCCACAACTAGCTCTCAAGATTCTAGAAAAATAAAGATTCTGAAAAGACTCAGCGGAGTCTACAATCATCAGAAGGGCTTTGGACCAGGATTAGATATATTTTATTCATCTGCTCCTCCATCTTTTCTGAATTCAGAAGACTTCAGATGAACACTTTCCAAGGAACTAAGAATAGGAAGATGAGTGAAATGAGGTACCTGTTCATAGTTTGGTGGAAAGACAGAGAGTGATGATTGTAACAGCTAAAATGGATTGAGCACATTCTGTGCAGGCCATCCCTGAGCTTTTCAGTTACACTGCACCCCTGCCCCTTCCCCCATCATCAGTAGCAGATTTCCCCATATTTTGCAGGGGAGATGCACTTGATCGTTTGTGATCCTGTGATTCTTGTTGTAGATAAGGCTGCATTTAACTTTTATGATCAGTTAATGGATTAGGTTGGTGAGACTCTAAGAGTGTCATACAAGCAGGGTGGTACAAGCAGGACTGCTTGGACTTGAACCCACCAGCTTTGACTGTGAGGCACATGCTTTTCTTACCAGGCACTGCTCCCTCCCATATATAGCTTTAATGAATGCACACAACAGTAAGTGGAATATAAAAGATCAAATTGAGACAAGAAAGGCTGCACAATGATTACTTACTTGTATCAGAAGAAAAAAGAAGGTACAGATATCTCTTGATTTGAGGAAGCTAGATTGCTGACCATGCCCAATTGGTGTAAGTCTAATCATGTCTGAAACAATCGGTGCAGCATGCATGAGTTAGCTCCTCTCATCTTCATAACCTCCCATCAGAGGTTGGCACTATCACTGCACCTCATTTGCAAATGAGGATTCATCTACACAAAGACCTGAAATCATGCACCAAGGGTCACACAGCCAGGGGGTGGGAATTGTGATTCAACTAAAGCTGTCAGGCTCCCAAGTCCTGGCTCTTAGCCCTTGCCATATTGCATTTTAAAACAGTTTATAGTAAGAGCGGGCATCTTTAATGAAAGCTAGTGTGGGCCACACTGTGATTGTGCTGATTATGTACAGCTTATCTACTGTCACAAAAGCCTAATAATTCAGCATTACTCTTCCTGTTTTCCAAATGAAAATATATGAAGAAAATGTTACAATAGTAGAATTAGGCTCCCTTTCCCACTTTCATCCATGGCACATGGAAGGAAGTAGGCTCTCTTGGATAAGGTTCTCCTGGAGGACCTAGGTGGTGGCTGCTTTCTATCCTAGCACCTGGCACATAGTTGACCATCAACAAATATTTGTGGAATGACCAAACTAAGATGGCTAGGAGCAGGTTGAGACTTACATCCTGAGAATCCTGGGGTGGACTTGCAAGTTGGAGGATGATCCACCTAATTTTTCCACTGTAGGCATCATCAGAGCCAGCTGCTCAGATCTGCAACCCAGATGGAAGGCCTGGACCCTGGCAAGGCACCCTCAGGCCCTGCAGGTGGGTAACAACCCTCAGGTCTGCAGGAGGGGGGATGGTGGGGATTCTTGTGAAAACTGATAAGGGATTTGCTACCCAAAGGAGCTTACCTACCTTGTGATTTATGCTTGTGACATGGATTAGTCAGGGCTGCATAGGGATAAACTGGTGAGTGATGCTGGGGTTCTTTGAAAGTCTTAGCCTTTTAAAGTTCAAAACGGGCCATTACAAACCACCTCCTGGCAGTTACTCAGTGGTTTACTCAGAAGAGGAAACTCACTTTTTAAAGGCTATAAAATCAACTTGGGTTATGTTCCTCATTTGTAACCTTATTGTCCCCTCCTGGTGTTACATGGAAGCTGGCTGCCTGTGATTCAGAGTATGAGTAGCCATGGTGTGTGAGTCAAAGGCACATGCATTAAATACATAAGCAGGAGCTCTTTGAGGTGTGGGAGGGTAGGAAGTAGTGTGAGCAGAAAATCACCACTCAACATTTTTGGCAGGCCGTCTTCAGTTTTCTACTACAGGGCCCCCAGCTTTGGTTGGTGGAACACTACTCTCAGATCAGAAGGATTCAAGACTGCCAAGGATAAATGCACTTGAATTGGTTTATTTAGTGCAGTACTTTTCAAATCCTTTATTACGTCACTATGCATTGTGACTTGACAAGAAAGGGAGAAAACCTGCAGCCATTCCTCTCACTTTTAACTGTGAAACCTTTTCTTTTCTCTTTCATAATGCCTGTCAGTATTTTTCAGAGCTAGTTCTCCCAAAGCACGAAGGAAACACTCTTCAAAAGGTCTCGGAACTGGGCATAGTGATGCATGCCTGTGTCCTAGCACTCTGAGGTGAGACAGGAGAAGCACAAGTTCAAGCCCAGTCTAGGCACCTTAGTGACTTAGCAAGACCGGGTCTCAGAATGCAAAATAAAAACAAGCTGAATGTAACTCAGTGGGAAGGCTCTGGGATCAACCCCCAGTACTGAATGAGAGAATGAATGAATAAAATTTTTTAAATAAATAGAAGAATTTGGAAAACTACCAGGCCCTAAAGGTGCCATGCAGTTCCCAGACGCTGGTTAAAAAGGATCCCACATAGCAGAGTCACTTGTGGAATTTTAAAAACATTAATTCCCAGGCCCTTCGCAGATCTCCTGAGTGAAGGTAGGGCACAGTGTTTAATAAGCACACTGGTTTGCTTTGCCACCAGTTTGGGGACGTGCGCTTAACTAAATATCTAAGGAGCTATACTATCCACTGACATGTTTATTGTATCTTCTGGTAGCTCTTCCTTTCTTTTACCTGCATGGACTTCTCCCCTGCCAGCCCATTATGACTACCTACCTTGTGGTAATCTGCTTCCTTTCTGCATCTTCTCTGATTTCAGCTCTGAAAGGCCCTACAAGTGCTCCATGGGCACCTCCCCAAGCCAAGAGACAGGCTGGGAATGGAGGTGGGCCTCAGCATGGGTCAGGAAAGCTGTGTGGAGGAGGCAGCTGCCCACAGACCGGCAGGCTGTGGAGATAAGGGCCATTTTGGATGGAGGGTCAGGCTAGGGCCCCAAAGGAAGGACACAGCATCACTGTAGGGCACTCATGCCTGGGGAGTGCCAGAACCTCCTGGTAGAGACAGGAAACAGTCAGAGTGAAGTGGTGGGTGCTGAGCTGAGCCCCATGCCCCACACTTCATCTCTACTGATGTTTCCAGAACCCTTATCTCACTTCTGCCTGCCCTGCCCCTTCTTCCTCTTCCCTCCTTGGCTCCCCTGTTGAAAACCTGCCTGTCCTGCAAGATTCAGTTCAGAACTCACTGCCTTGTGAAACCAGGCCATGCTGGCCTCGTTCATACAGGCCCTGTCTAAGCTCACCCACATTCACTTGTCTAAGGGCTACTTGGCCCTGTAATGTGCAGAGTCTCTCTATTCAGACCCTAAGCTTTACTTGTCTTTTTCTATTCTAAAGTAACCATGCAGGAAGGAAGTTTACATGAGATAAAAAATGGACCTTTCAGCTTACCAAAATATATCATAGACTTAAAATCTTCCTGCCTTTTCCAAGTGACAAATTCCTCATCTAGAAATCTAGCTAAGGAGATAAATAAAAATTGGGATAGAGATTAATACAGAAAGATGTTCATCACAGGAGTTTTTAAAATAGCAGGAAACAAAAGCAACCTCAATGTTTAAATGCAAAGAAATATATAAGTAAATTATACTTTATATATAAGATGAAGAATCTACCTAAAAGCCTTCAATAATATGGAGAAACATGAAAAAAGAACAAAAAATCAGAATACAATACTGTACATGGCACCTCTAGTATATTAAAAAATGAATATACTTTTATGTTTCAATCACTAGAAAAGACAAGGGAAATACACCAAAATGTTAGTGTTTGTAGAAAACAATTACTTTTATTGGCGCTATTACTTTCTATTTTAAAGTCATATTTTCTATGTCCCATGATAAGTACCCTAGTTATATTTGTAATCAGAAAAAAATGAAACTAGAGCAGTGTTTAAAAGGAAAAGGATGTTTTTCTCAGCATAACTTTGACTTTAAAGATAGCATGTGTGTGACTAGTGACATGTTTCTAAAGGACCATTTTGGGTGCCTTGTCTTTTATTATGTGTTGTTATACTTGAATCGCAAATTACATGCTGTGTTCAGCATTTCTGGCTGCCAGACACCAGCTTCGCCCATCATGTCAGTGACCTCACTTCTTCGACTCACCCAGAATCATGAGTGCTGTGTTCTGGGACTGCTCGGACAACACTGGAATGGGTGATGCTTCCAGCCTCCTAACAGACTGATGTCTTTTGTGAAGATGGGCTTCCCCGTTGCCTGATGGAGCTGAGTGTGGCTCAACAAGTTCAAAGGATTCCCTTTCCATAAAAACAGTAGGCATTTGATCTCTGTCCGTTTTACATAGATCAGATGCCTGTTCCTAGCTTCATCTCTGGTGGCCTCCTACTTCTGAGTGTGTCTGTGGGGTGCCAGGACAGATACCACCATTACTAGCTATGTTCATACATTGTGCCAGGCAGAAAATTGGCATTGCCTTCTTCCCTCCATCTCTTAATTTCCACTGCTTCCATAATAGGCTTTGTTACCCCCATTTTATAGCTGAAAAAACAGGCCCGTGTGCTCAGGATAACTTTCCCAGGACACCATCATATCTGAAATTCAAACCAGGGTTAACCGACATCAAGATTGATGCTCTTTAAATGTTGTCACCTTAGGGCAAGCAAACATCCAAAGTTAAAGCGCTGGTGGCATTTTCTCTCAGTTTATGTAAATTTTGAATTTATCCACTTTTTAAGGTTCATAGCTATTCAAAGGCAGAGGCACACTGCCCCCAAAATGCTCACAGACAAACATTTATGTCACTGTATCTCTGTTAGGATGAATCACATTGGCAGTCTTTATACTACTTCTTGAATTATGTACTTTGGACTTAGAATCATTCAGTCTGAAAATTCTGTAGTGTCGATGTGAATGGATTTAAAAGGGTTACTATGAATGCTTTTGTAAGGCCCGAAGACAGGAGGGCCATAGTTGAGCCCTGAGGCACATGTTGATGTAAGAAATGACCCATCGCATGGAATTGTCACATGGAATGACAGGCACCACCAGCCTTGTAGAAATACCTTGCAGGACAGGGGTTAGGGGATGTATGGGCACCTGTTCTCTCTAGAAAGGCTCAGAATACATAGTATTCCTTGCTGTCGTTATTAATAAATAAGAGTACCTAATATTGAAGCAGATATGTGGAAATTGTCCCCACAAAGCCCACTGGGAGAAGAAGGGTGTGCCTCTGTTCCCAGAGCTATGGGAACATAAGAAATGTGCCTGTGGCCCCCAAGAGACCTTGGAATTAAATTTCATTTAACCTCCCTCGTGGAGAGAACACATAGAAATTACCCAGTCATCTGAAGGGCCATACACGGATCTCTTGCTGCACTATCATGGCTGGATAAACAAGACATTAGGGCAAAACTTCACAGTTGTAGAACAGCACAAATCTACTATGTATTACAAACAATATATTAGTGAGAAATATTAGTTACTGAATAACTTCTAAAAGGAATTTTATGGTTTTAAAAGAGCCAACCACTATGCAGACAATTTGCAAATGTTGGATGGATATTTTGATGAGTGGCTTGGTAGATAAATGGGTACATTGATGAGTGAATGAACGACTGCCAGTTAACACACATGCGTAGAGCACGTACTCTGTGCCAGCCACTGTTATACATACATCATAGTTATAAGTCCACTCCATAATCTTATGTTAACCCTATAATGTAAGTACTATTAACATCTTCATTCTAAAGTTAAGATCACATAAGCTACCACATCACAGAACCAGAATTGGTTATGATTCAGGCATCTAACTCCAGAGTTTTAGCTTTTAACTACTAAGAATTTATACTTGCACGCATGAAGGGATGTTTGAATGTCTCTTAGACCGATGTTATGCTGCTATAGGGTTTGCAAAGCATGTTTCCATAATTACATTGGTTGCTTTGATTGAGTCTAGTGCTTGTTGGCTCATGCATGGAGAAACTGAGGCCCAGAGAAGAAAGTGTCTTGGTTGTAGGCCTACAGCAGCATGTGCCCAGCTGAAGCCAGACATGAGACTTTTCCCAAAGTACCACCAGTCTCTCACCTTCCATGCCACTGCCAACACAGAGCTCCTTTGTAAATCCATCTCTCTGTACACATCCAGATTCTTTCACAGTTCCACCATCAAGGGACCAAAGTGAGCACCTTATGCCAGGTTTCCCCCAGTGTATGGTAGCCCTAAGTCTCCTCCTTTCTGAGGCTTCCTGGTGACAGATGCCAGCCTTCTAGCAGCCCTTTGCTGAAGCCTCCACAGAAGCTGGACTAGATTATGGAAGGACTGTGGATACTGCAGCAAGATGCTAACAAAGACATGGTTTTTTCTCTTCAGATTAGCCTGCCCAAGAACTTGAACAGTGCTAGGAAAATCCTGGTCCCCAACCCTCAAAGTCTTCTCAGTTACAATGCATATACAGAGTTCCACCAGACCAGCAGTAGGCAACAGAGACTAGCAGTTAGAGATGTCCCACCTGCAGGCTGGCTGCCTGGGTTCAAATCCTGACTTCTATGACTAGCTGAAGACCTCAGGCATTGCCTCTCCATACCTCAGTTTCTCCTTGTGCAAATTGACACAACAATACTTACTGCATGAAGGTCACGTGGTGTTATATACCATAAGGGATTAGTAATAGTGTGGTATTAAGCACTTCATAAATGTTCAGTGATATTTTGTCATCACAATCAGCACTTTATTAGAACAAATTCCAGAAGTTTATCCACATTAATCGCTTGTCCTGGAGCTTTGTTGTATTGGAAACTGAAATGAAAAGGCCACCAAGTGACGTTATAGGGGCTTTTTGGTTATCCAAAGAATCTTTATAATTAATCTTTATGCTGAGATTTCACACAAAAGTGCGAGGTCCCAGTTCCTAATAACAGCAGGTCTGAAATGGATTTCAAATAGGTCAATGACTTGTCCAAGGCCCACACTTTGTTACTCTTTGAGCTTTCAAAACCTTAACTTTCATCAAAAAGCGGAGTTTTGGGTACAACACAGCATCCCTAGAGCTATTTGCCATGGTCCAGAGCAATCATAGACACATTTGTGTTGTAGCACTGAAAAAGGGGGGAAAACCCACTTTTTTTAATTCCTTGGCACTTTGCCAGTGTTAAACGATGCATTGATTAAGTCATTACTTACAACTGTATACCCTGAAATAGCTTCAGACACGCTTGTTAAATCATGAACATGGAAACACTGAGTTCTCAGTACAGTCCAAGAAAAAGTTTGTGAGCTTTCCCAACAGAATAGCACAGTACCTCTCCTGGCTGTGACCCTTCTGTAACTATGCTGCTATCCGCCCTTGTTTTCACAGCTGCACCTGAGCTGAAACTCCTCTGTGGGGCAGACATCTTGAAGACCTTCCATACCCCCAACCTCTGGAAAGATGCTCACATCCAGGAAATAGTGGAGAAGTTTGGCTTGGTGTGTGTGAGCCGGGCAGGGCATGATCCAGAGGGATACATTTTGAGTTCGCCCATACTATGCAAATATCAGCACAACATTCAGCTGGCCAGGGAGCCAGTGCCGAATGAGATCAGTGCCACGTATGTCAGAAGAGCCCTGGGCCAAGGGCAGAGCGTGAAGCACCTGCTTCCGGACACTGTCATTGCTTATATCAAGGACCATGGCCTGTATATGACTGACAGTTCCCAGAAAGGCAGAAGTTCCCAGGACAATAAAGGAAAGACAAGCTAGGCAGGCCCTCAGTCCGCTACTCCACCACCCAGAACCTCCTGCAGAGGTTTTTGTTTTGCTTTGTTTTCGGTTTTCCTGGCTCTTTTGGTTTATTACTACAATGATTTAACTTCTGGCGACTCTTCTACCCCAGGAAGAGATACATTCTGTCTGTGTGGCCAGAAAAGACATTTATCAAAGAAGCTAAAATGGTGTGGCAGAGCATCAAGATTAGGCAGCCTTGCTTGGAGCGGCTGGACAAGGAGACTTACTTATTTTGTGTCAGTGGTAATTATGGCAGGCACACCGAATGCCATTCTGAGCTTGCCTGGGCCCCTGAAGGTCAACTCAGAATTGCCCACGTGCATTTTTTAACTAGAGCCAGGTGTGGCCCACTGGTCCTGATTGGCAGGATTTGACAGAATGCTAATTACTGAACAGGGGGCCTTGTGGATGTCCTTGTTTCAAACAGTAATGTTAACTAAGAAGTACAAAATTTGGAAACCACTCTTGCATCATATGTTCCTTTACAAACTGTTCAACTGTTGTCTGCCTGCCTTCTGACCTTTCATGAAATTCAAACTAAACTCTAAGTAGTGAATCTCAAACAATATTTTTGATACAAGTATTTTTAACACCGTTATACTCTAAACACCAAAGCTCCTGGTGTTCAAGTTTCTAAAAGGAAACTGAGGTAAAACAGATGCTAATTTTAGAGAATCTTTTTAGAATGTTTTATGACTGCCGGCCTGTTTGAATATTGGCAAAGCAATAAATAATAAATTGACATCAAATGTTCTAATGAAAAGTTTCTTTTTTTTCCTTCCTTTGTTACATTATTAATGCCTCGTGTACCACCTGTTGCTCTTCTCTTTAGTAATTCCACGATATTTGCTACTGTTCAGTGGAACCGGTATGAATTTTAAAAATCTGTGTCCCAGGTACTAGGAGTGGAGGAAGCGACTGTTTTTCAGCACCACACAAATGGTTTTCTAATCCAGAGCAATGGGTTTATACTGTTGTTCAAGGGAGCCCTGAAAGATGAGTGGAGGCTTTTGGTGTGTCCAGGACTTGTCATTCCACCTCAGGTTGGGAAAAGGCTTTGATTGTGCTAATCCTGTAGGTGGTTCCTGTTTATACTGCTGACCGATTGCGCTCAGAATTGGCTTCTCTGTGGTTCTCTTCCGGCTCATCTTTGCCACGGATTTAGTGGTGCTGAGAAGGGGCAGGCAGGAAGACTCTAGTGTCTGCTAAAATATCCCAGCTTTGCCAAGTTTGTTATGAGATTAACACAGAAGTGGGAAATCCAGAGTAGTGGGACTCTTGGGAACCCAAACTTCACTCTCCGGTTTAGCTGTGCCCTGCAAAGGTCCCTGGAGACCCAGATAACTCAGGAACTAGGAACCAAACAGGTTAGAGAAAAAGCTGCACCGCAAGTAATGTGACTTTGGCTCACTCCCTTCCCCACTGTGAGCGTCAGTTTCTCTACCTCCGACATAAAGGGTTTGATTAAATGCTCTTCCAGCCCTGCTTTTCAAGACTGCTTCTGACTTAAGCCTTGGCAGCTTCTTTGGGGCCAAAATGCTTCTAGCCAGACTGGAAGCTCCCTAAGGGCAGCTCTTTGTTTTGTTTGTAACTCAAAGTGCAGTCACAGGCCAGCAGTGGTTGCACCCATGGGGGTTTGTCAGAAACGGAATCTCAGGCCCAACTGACTCAGAATCAGCTTTCTTGTAAGGGTCGTTGGCCTCGAATAGTGCCGTGCAAACAACTATACCATTTTTAATTAACTGAGAGTTCAAGTAAAATTCTGTGACACGCTGGTATCTTCCCTCTTATCCTCTGAGCAACACTGCCCCAGTTTCACCTGCAGTAGAGCAGGTAGACAGGGAGGAAAGCCCTGCAATCAGCAGTAGTGTCTAGAAAAGGTGAGAGAGGGGACCTAGGAGTTTAAGGCAGGGTTTCTCACCCTCAGCAGTATTGACATCCTGGGCTGCATAATGCTTTCCTGTGAGGTATTGTGCACCCCAGGATGCTTAGCTCGTGTCTGCTAGATGCTAATAGAACGTCCCTAGTTGTGACAACAGAAATGTCCCAGACATTGCCAAATTCTCTCCCAGGGCTCCAGATAATGACCAGCTTTGGACCCATTGGCTTAAGGATGTGACTGTGTATGAGAAGGGACTGTCTGTTTCCCACTAAAGGGAAATCAGGAAGCAGCAGCTTTAGAACAGCCTTCTTTGGTACAGGTCTCGTGGAGGGCTGCCCTACCTCTCCTGGAAGCAAGCTTATTCTGACAGATGCAGTACTGTTCACAGTAGGAACTGGAAGCCACACCCAAGCACATCCAGCTTTCCTCTTACCTTATTCCCAAGTACCCAGAGTAGCCTCCTCTCTCACATTTTAGAGCTGAGGATTCCAATATGCCCTGGACCTTTGTTACTGACATGCAGGGCCAAGAACATGAAGGCTCAATGAGTGGGGTGAATAGTTTTATTATTATTCAAATTTCAGGATTCACTTATTGGAATCACATCTATTGAGGGCCTCTCTGCCATGGGTAGGTAGGTTGGTGAACAGACAGTCTCACCCTCAAGAAGCTTATAGTCCAATGGGGTCTGGACAGAAACTAAATCATCACACAACTACATGTATGACTACAAACTGAAGAGTACTCTGAAGGCAAACACAGTTAGACTGCCAGCTAGAGGCAGCAGGTTCACACAAAGCGAAGGAAGCTAATTCTTCAGTCCCTCAGTTTCTAGCACCCTAGAAGGACCCGAATTCTATGGGTGTCTAGTTTATCTAATTCTAAATTTATAATTTTATTCTTTTTCTGGAAAAGGGCCCTGGAGATGGAACAATCTATTGAAAATGGATTTGCTGATGACAGTGTAGACTGTAGAGAAGTGACAGTAAATTTAAGACCTGAAAGATAAGCCCCCAAGACTTTGGGATAGGTGAAGGCAACTAGCTTTCAAGAATAACAGTATGTGCAAAGGCTCTGAGGCAGGAGAATACAAAATGAGCACCATCATGAGCTAGATTCATTATCATCTCCTTAATAATGTATCCCATATTACTGTCATGCACCTGAGAGCAAGTGCCCTTGCATGCCACCATCTCCCTGTCTTAGCTTAGGCTCAAGGCAGCAGCAGGCTCAATAGGCTTGCAAGAGGTGCCTTTGTCTCCCTGATCCATGTCTGTATCATATGACTTTCACCAGGTAAAACAGCTATTTCTGAGCCTTTATGTTGTTCTTTATAAAATACAACACAACAAAAACTACTTTATTAGATATATAGTATACATATGTACAATTTCATACATATACATATGTATCTTAATTTCCATACTCTCACTTTGTCTCATGGATTCATGTAACCCCCTGTTTTTAGCAGAAGAGAAAGTATGTCTTGCTGCTGTGCTCTTGATGTATTGTATTGACACTGACCTGCATACCCGATTTAACATTCCCTTCCATTCCCTTAGGTCTTCTTTGCATCTAGTTTGCCAGAGTGTTTTGTTTATTCTGCAAGAACAGAAAAACCGTGGTGTGGGCTTCTGGGTGAATAGAATTTCCAGCCTTAAATAAAGGTTCTCCTGTGATAACATTTGCTGCTGCCCAAATGAGAGGAGTGCTGTATTCTTGCCCGGGGAAAGAATTTTTCATTTCTAATACTGTCTATGTCATTTGGGACAGAATGATGTGAAGCCCCATTTTAAACAGATAGTGCTATGGATTTGCAAGGTACGTTTGGTAATTGGGTTAATACATGAATATGAATTTCCCTGTCTTTGTCCTCACGCTTCCTATGCTAACTGTTTCTGACCTTCCTTTTTGCAGAGGTCTCCATGCATGGATTGTGCTGTTTCAGTCGTGAAGTTATTTTCTTGGACCAAAACACATACCCATGTGTGTAACTAATGAATAATCTAGAATGATACATCTTGGCATGTGCCTCAGAATAGTTTAGTATTAATAAAACAACTTCAAAAATATTGTTCATGATACTATAGACTGTGAGAACTAAAAAGGACCCTGAAGTTCATCTGGCTTCACATTTCCAAATTATCAAACACTAAAATCTCACAAACACGCAGGAGTTTTACTCTTTTTTTTTTTTTTTTTTTTTTTT